GGGAATTAACGATCTCCCAAGGAGTGAAACCCATAACCAAGACTATCAAGGATACCTGGTGCCTCTCAATAATCGAATGGGCTGATCCAAGCTTGATACTTCAAAAACAGTTGAACCAGTTTTCCACGCTCCATTATGTTGCCGGATCGAACAGGGATTATGATAGGTAACAGGCAACTTAATCAAACCAGAGCTTTAGTCTACGAAGTAAAGCAGGAAGAGGTGGGTTTTAGACTATGAGACGCGGCGTAAACCGGTGCGCGTTTCAGATGAACGCTGACAAGTCTCACGGAGGATAGTACGGTTGTACAATAATCCTCTTTGCTGGTCATCATAGACATTTCCCTCGTGCATAGGCACATGCACACACACACGTTTCTCCGCATTCCAAGTGCAATGTATGGATACCACTTTGTCAGTATCCGTATCGGGGCTGGAAGGGGAGAGGAAGGGATCTATGGGCACGTGAGTGAACAGACACACGGCAAGGTAATCATTGGAATTGGAATTGACCATAAACATGGGTGTAACACGGATACGTTGGTACTGTGAGAGCAGAGTAAGAGACTGCTAATTGATTGCATACAAATTTGAGAGTTTTGAGGAACAGGTTAGAGACTTTTTTAATGCAGTACTGAAGTTTTCGGGACCGACCCAATTTGCTTGGTTCGCTGGCCCATCCGCCCGTTGAAGAATCATACCAGACGCAGAAAACCAATGTTAATTAGAACAAGAAGACAGGTACTCAGCTCCTAACTAACTAAGTAATGAATGCTTGCATTGGAATTATCAGTGCCTACCGCTATTTAAATAATGGGAGAACAAACTATTTGGTACCATTTGACTTTATCAGCATGAAATCCATTGGCGAAAATTTCCGGCGTTTTTCCTTCTCTGCGCACACATACAGACAGAGCTCTCCTTCTGTGTTTTCGAAAATTCTTGGCATGATTCTCGGGTAAATGTTTGTAGGGTTGTGAGGTACTACTCACATTTGTGAGTACCTAAGTTTTCGTCGAATCGAATGGAGCTCAAGGAATAATCCGTCTTCTGCAAAGCGAATGATCTTTTCGTAATTTGGTCTTCAGCACTTTACAGATACGTGTGTGTTTCTATCTAATGCAGAAATAAATGTGATTGATCTATTGAGGTTAAGCGTGAAAATACAACAATGCCTATCAAGTTTAATCAGAGCAAGTGGACAGTGGACGTAGCAAAGCCCACAATGCCTAAACCAAACACGGTCAAAAAGAAAGAACTATTTTTGCAACTCCCATCCAAAAGAAGATTCGAGTGGTAATCTACTAAGAAGACGTCGGAAGAAAGCTATTGCACAAACATATCCAGCAGCCATTCTACATTTGATATTTACAAGCCGGCTTCAGCTCTACACAAA